ATTAGATTCTAATTAAGCTTAAATATGTTTATCATACTATTTTTGTACAAATGTTGTACACATTTTGTATAGTTGTACATATATTGCACATATATTATTCGCACATTAATTGAATCATTTAGTTAAGTTGGGTACTTTATATTTGTCAATTGAACTCACATATTGTTTCTCCAAGATAAGTAATTTAATAACATTCTCTTCTTTATGATTGAAAAATGTAGCAAATTTTTACAAGAGTGAGTTAATAAGTGGGGCGGTGTTGGTTCAAGGACGACCCGGAATTTTGATATACGGCAGGCCGAAAATACACTTGAGAAATGATCATATAACAAGCTAAAGGTACTAGATTCAGAAAAGTGGGATGTTATGGAGAAGGATGCCAAGAAGGCATAAGATGCTGAGTTTCATTGCCAAGTTGTGTTTGGCAATGCAATAGTGTTAGGAAAGGAGGCAGTGAAGAGGAAGAAAAGCCACACAAGTGCAGAATAGCTGAAGGTGCGTGCGTGAACCTTCAAGGAAGAGACGATAAAGAAGGGGTAAGAAGTCTCCATCAAGAAGCTTGGGAAGGATGATGATAATTGAGCAAGGAGACAACTCTGATTTGTCCTCTGATATGTATGAACCAGTACACAAGTGTCCTAGAAGCCCTAATCACACTTTAGATTGATCAAAGACTAGGGTTTGCTTGGTTAGATTTCTTTTTGTCCAATTGATCTAACCTTTGGCTAAGGAGTTAAGTACTCAAATATGATTTGTCGCATGTTATTAGTTCTTTTGAAACTAAATACTTAAGCATGTTTTTTTTATCATGTCTTAACTCTTTAAAGATTTTAACTTTTATTTATGTCTGATCTTGGGCTTGTTCAATTTATGTGATCAATATATATTATTAATTTTGTTCTTTTGATCAAGATATACAATTGAATTATTGTGATTATACACACAAAAATATATTTTAAATTTTCTAAAATTGAAATATATGGATTGTAATTATAACTACTTTCCCGACTTACCATGTGACAGAAAACTGTATTTATTGAAATTTAAATGAAAATACACTTTTAATTTCCCAATAAAAATTAAATGATCAGTAAAATTATTGACTTGTAAGCGGCGTTTACTATGCAAAATCTGTGACGGTTTAGTTCCAAATTCACTCCCCTTAATGTGATTTTTGGATAAATTACTTTCAATAAGTTGGAGAGTTGTGTGGTTTCATTACGATGACTTGAAGTAATGGAGGATTTTAACCGTCAAGGGAGTGACGCAAGAGTGATTATAAATATAAGTAGTCACTTCACATTTGTCAGAGTTTTTCAACTACTCTCTTAAATAATCTTATTTTAAATTTACCATGGAAGATCTTTTGCATCACAAATGCTGCACATTGAGCCTAATGGGGAAGTTTAAGGAGTTGGCATGTTTTATATGTTGACAATACACTTCATGGATCTATTGAATACCCAAATGAGTGCCCGAATCACCCTTTGGCTATGGATAGGCGCTCCAAATGGAAGAGAAATTACAGGAATAAAACGAAAAAGAAATTGCCTCAACATGAGGATTAAGAAGCGATGGGGGATAAACCCGCTATTTTGGATGATATAAAGGTGGACCTATTGGGCCTAGCGCTTTTCTTGTGGGTGTGAATGCTAATCTTTTGAGTAATTTTATACTTCCTCACCTAGAGTAGAAAGAAGACAGGGTGAATGCCGCCTTGGTTTGCAAGGGATGGGCCAGGGAGAATAGAGCGATCTTTCCTCCCACTTTCGATAGAAAATTGGAAGCAAGGACTATCCCTTACCCCAAGACGTACTATGAAGTGGAAGTTACCAGATGGGAGGGGGAATGCATACCTTAGTGTATAAGTGTGTCATTCAATTATGGTATAATCAATCTTTGAGCACCATAGGATCGACTAGCTCCTTACAGAGCCTAGCAATGATGAATTTGAGGAGTATCTTAACGATCCTGAATTGCAAAATCTTGTGGCGACGCTCCAAGATGATCCAGCATATTAGAAGGCATTTCAATAAGTACATCATGTCATTATATATATTTATCCTTAAGTCCTGTTTTAAAGAGTATACACAATTCAAAACTTATAAGCTTTGAAATGCTCTAATTTGTAATTATTATACCTCTATAAATATTAAGTAATATTTTTATTTTGTGTTTGGTATTTGCAAAGTTAGACATACATAGTGCTTTATATTTATGTTTAAAGAGTCATAATTTGGTTGGTTTCAAACGCCATCAACCACAAAAATTGGGGGGGGGGGGCATTTGTTACACCCAAAAATCAGATTTTGACCTGACTATATCCTTTCATTTAATGGAATGCATTTGTATCTTTTGTCATATGTTTATCTACACGTTTCTTTGAGCAATCTAACTTGTTTTACTTCTTTTAGGAAAGCTTCCTTATTTATTAATTTGTTTCACGTTAGCAAGGTTATCAATCTTTCAAACCGGTAAATCAAGGGGCAGCCTCCTAATACTCTAGAACGAGATAGAGTATTGAATTTGTTGGTAAAGAGCAATATTTACCTCAATAGGTTGTCAAAGTTTAAGTAATTAACTATAAATAGATTGTTTGTCAAGAAGACATGTTGAATTAAAAAAAAAAATGGTGAAAGTAACAAATTTTACAATTTGTGAAAGTATTTGGATGTTTGCATATATTAAATTTAATGTAAAGTACTCCTTATACAATACCAATATCTATACTGTATACTTTTTTAGTATTTAAAAATACAAACCATCATGCTTATCATGCCACATGTAAACTTTATTTTTCTTCAATGCCACACGTCACCTCATAACCTTCAATTTTTTTCAATCCCCTTTTTCACTAAAAAAAAAAAAAAAAAAAAAAAACCTATCTTTAATTCAATACATGTATGGTTTGATTCATTTTTCCCCAACTTTTTGTTTCTTCTATAAAATTCCAATTGAGCTAGCGTAACATGTTTAATATAGATACACTGATATATTTTAACCTATTTTTATTCATGGGGTAGGCCACGGCCTAGGCCCCCCTTGAATCTGTCTTTAGGTTGGTTCACCCCATTATCTTGCACATGACTCAGCCTATGAGTAGCAGCCATATCACATAATGTATTAGTTAAATGAAAAAAATACTTCGTGTAAGAACATCTTCAATGGGTAAATTCATTGGATTTTTTTTTTGTAGGAGAAAGAAAGTATTTTTTGTAAAGACTATCAATAATTTAGTATCTTAACTTAGCTAGTTATCCAAAAAGAAAGTGACCAAATAATTTTTAGTTTTTTTGTAACACAAAGTAGAAACTATTATAATAATAGGCTAAAGCCCAAATTACACATAACAACACTTTTAAGAGTTTATCACAAAACTTGGTGTTGAACAAAAACAAACAATTACTAAGTCCCTATGTTACATGGACTCAAGTACGTGTGTCGGACACGGACACGTACGTGTACGAGTGTCCAATTCGTCAATTTTCAAAATTTTAGGACACGGGGACTCTGTCCTATATTTGGACACGGGTGCGGGAACACGACACTTTCATTTTGTGAAAAAAATAATATTATAAGTAAAAAAGTAAAAAAAAAGTTAAAAGTGAAGAGGTTGAGTGGTTAAAAAACTAATAAATATAGTCACTAGTCAGTAACTACAACTTTCTATCAAATCAAAATATTAGAAGTAAAAAAGATCTTGAGTGGTTAAATAATAAAATATAACCAAAATAAAGAGTATCACACAACTGTTCACCCTTTTGCTTTATCAATACAGCTGTCCCACACTCCCACTTACCACAAAACCTCATTTTTATCACTTTATCAGCCCTCACTCCTCAGTCTTTCACTCTCTATTTATTTATCATGCATTCATGTGGTTGCTACACGCCGGCAACAATGGCGTCCACCACAAAACTCCGACCAACTCACGAATTCAAGCTGATTTGGGGGGTTTAAGTTGTCTATCGGTCGAAAATGCGGAATTTTTATACTATGGTTTTTCCCCTTCCCCTCTCTCAGAAGTGTCAGAGTGCAAATAGCCGAATCTGACACGAATTTCGTATCCGTGTCCGCGTCGTGTCGTGTCGTGTCGACACGAACACTCCGGGATTTCAGCCGAGTCTAGTGAACATAGCTAAGTCCAATCATGCATACATTCAAAATTAAGCAAACTATTAAAAAAACCAGAGCCCTACATTGTTTATACACACAAAAGGGAAACAACAAGAAGCAACCGGACAATCTCAGAGAAGAGAGATGGATGGTGATGAGACAGCATCGAAACATTCGCCTGAATCAATATTTAGCTTCATTGATAATGAGGAGGATTCAGTGGCGTCACCAGGATTTTCGAAGTGTGGGTTCGAAACTTCCGAAATTTGAAATCATAATTAACAAAGGAATAAAAAACACCAATAATATTCAACAAAATAGCAAGTTGATCAAACAACCAAATACAATCATCATTATCCTTAGCAACAGCAACAAGGGTTAATTGAAGTTGGTGAGCAAAACAATGAATATAATAGGCTTGTTTTGTTTCATTCATGATCAAAGTCTTGAGACCATTTATCTCCCCCCTCATGTTACTAGCACCGTCATAACCTTGTCCACGAACTCTAGACAAACTCAATGAATGTTCCATAAGCAAAGACTCAAATGCACTCTTTAGTGACAAAGCAGTAGTATCCTTAACATGTACAATTCCAAGAAACCTCTCATTTATCTTCCCTTTATTATTGACATAACGCAAGCAAAGGGCCATTTGTTCCTTTTGAGATACATCACTTGATTCATCAGCCATTATTCCAAAATAGTCATCCCCAATATCATCAATAAGAAGTCTAGTGGTTTCTTTGGCACAACAATTAATAAGTTCTTTTTGAATTGAAGGACTAGTCATTCGATTATTACCCGGGGCATTACCTAGAACAACCTTTGCTACCTCACTATTATTTTCTGAAAACCATGTTAAGAGTGCAAGAAAATTACCCCTATTCCAAGATTCTTCACTTTCATTATGCCCACGACAAGCTAAACCTTAATTTAAAAGAAATCTAATACATTTCAATGAATAAGTCAAGCGAGATTTGTATTGTAGTTTAGCTTCCTTAGAATAAGTGCAAAGAGATTCAGCAATTGATGTCTTTGGGTTGATAAACATACTATATTTCTCATTAGCCTGATTATGGAAACTACCAATACCACCCACATGAACATCAAATCTACCAGTCTTATTCCATCCTCTAAATCCCCCTTTAATAAAGGAATCATTAACAGCCAAAGAATAATCAACTTTATCAGTGAACAAATAGCACACAAAACAAAAAGCCGCATCTTTCTCAACACTATATTCAAGCCACTCATATTTATCAAACCAAGTAACATTAAAACGGCGCATACCTCCAACTTTTCTTTGAGGAAAATTATGTGTGCGTGGATCACAACGTTTCTTTGTAATATAGCCTCTCCTTACGGCATCTCGATCATTAGGAGGATACTCCATAATTGGAATTCTTTTTCCAGGGTCATGTGGAAGAAGATCAACATCATAAATGCGAGTATCATCGGAGTCAACAGTAGTATTTGGAACACTTGGACCTGTGTTCTCAGGTGGTGGAATTGTTGCAGCAATAGGAACCTCATCATCATTAGGAGACACATGTTCTTCTATTGGAGGATCCCTTGAACTAGGTGAAGAACAAGTTGAAGACTTTTGTGACTTCCCGGCACGTTTCCAAAATGACTCTAAACTCATGGTATAATAGGTATATACTGCTAGTCTGCTACACACACATGATAAATGCAGAATGAAATCAATGAATGAATGATAAATCTAGAAAGCTAATTAAAATTATCGTAATTAAAGATTACAGTCAATTACTCAATTAGTAAACGAAATCTAGACGGCAGAAAACGAAATAGCATATGAAATTATGAAAACTAGAAGGCAGAAAACGAAATACAGAAAATAGCATATGAAATTCAACAATGTAACAAAAAAAAATCCCCAAATTGAGAACTTGAGAAGTAAATTAGATAATTATAACCAAACTTCAGCAATTTACAAAAAATTGGCAATTCGTAATGTATATTAGCAATTTAGCATATGAATTTCAAGTATTCAATGATTTAGCAAAAAAAAATCCCCAAATTGAGAAGTAAATTACATTTGCAAAAAAAAAAATCCCCAAATTCACTTACCTACATACACCGATACACGGCTGTGAGGCTGTCAGTGCTGTGACGGACGACGGTGGGTCTGCTGGCCTGCTGGGTGAGTGGCTGGTGCGCTGCCGCTGCCACCGTGTTCTGGCGTTCTGCTGACTGTTGCCGTGTTGCGCCGGGAAGAGAAGGAGGAAGAACGGGAAGAGAAGGACTGAAGGAGGAAGAACGGGAAGAGATTAAGAGAGGGAGGAAGAAGTTAGGGTTTTGCAATTTGGGGGAATGAGGAAGAGGAAAGCTGGAAGCAGGGAAAGCTCAGGAAACAAAATTAAAAAATTGTGTGATGGGAGGTAAAAATAACCACTGGGCTACAACTTTACTTGTTGTCATATAATACACAAATATTCTATTTAAACCTATTTTGATTTTTTTTTTTTTTAAAAAAAGTATTTAATTTTTTTCAAAAAATCAGTGGGTTCAACCCACCCTAGCTCCGCCACTGGGAGGATTCAAAGCAAAAGAAATATAAGAAATCAGGGTTTGAGGAGTTTGAAGGGACATGGGAAGGCAGGGTTGAACCGTTGTTGAGTTATATGAATGAGATGGATCATCTGTATCGAATGTGTTGATAAGTATATTAGGTGACTCGTACTTCGTAGCTTTGTCCGCCCGATCGGGCGGACATTGCCCGGTCTGACCGGGCGGAAGAAGAAGAGGTGCCTGGCAAATTCGTTGAAGAAGCTGCTCTCGCGCCCGACCGGGCGAGCCTTCGCCCGACCGGGCGAGCCTTCGCCCGATCGGGCAGACCTTGCCCGGTCTGACCGGGCGGTGGGGGTTGGATACGTTGAAGCATTCGTATGGAGTTTTCTTCTCGCGCCCGATCGGGCAGACCTTGCCCGGTCTGACCGGGCGGAGAAGGAAAAATACGGAACGCGGATTTTGCGGTTTTAGGTTATCTTATTTTATTATCTTTTTGCCCAAGTATCTTTTAATTAGGGATTAATATAAAACCTCCCTAATATCAGTATTAGGGTTAAGAGAGACAGAGTGAGAGCCGTTCTTGAGAAATACAAGAATCATCTTTGTAATCTTTGCAGTTTATAGTGAAATCATTCGATCTCGGTGCCCGTGGACGTAGCTATCACATCGATAGTGAACTACGTAAATTCTTGGTGTTGTTCTTATTGTTTGCATTGAATTTCTTTATTGTTTTCTTGTTTGTTTTCGACCTTTGCTTCCGCTGTCGCACAACAATTGGTATCAAGAGCTCAGGTTCAATCCTTGGAGAGTTTCTTGAAGATAACAATGGCAGGAGATTCAACAATAAGAATTGAGAAGTTTACCGGGAAAAATAGTTTCGGGCTATGGCAAATTAAGATGAAGGCTCTGTTAAAACAACAGCAGATATGGCGTCCGTTGGCTCCAAAGAGTACTACTTCGGAGTCAGGAGACGGACCGACTGACTCGCAGTTAGAAGTTATGGAAGAGAAGGCACACTCTACCATATTACTTAGTCTTGATGATCAAATCATCACGGAGGTTGCTGATCAGGAAACGGCGGCTGGATTGTGGCTGAAGCTGGAGTCATTGTATATGACTAAGTCGTTGACCAACAAATTATTACTGAAACAGCGGTTGTTTAGCCTCCGGATGCAGTCAGGTACTTCCTTACGGGAACATCTAGAAAAACTTAACTCTATTTTGCTTGATTTACGTAATTTAGATGTTAAAATTGATGATGAGGATGCTGCGTTGATTTTACTTGTATCTCTACCGTCTAGCTTTGAGAATTTTGTAGAGTCTTTTGTTGTTGGTAAGGATTCTATAACCTTAGAAGAAGTGAAGGCAGCACTTCATACTAGGGAACTCAGAATGAAAGCTACGAGTGATAATGGGGATAATGGTAGTGGGTTATTTGTTAAGTCCGGAAAGTCTAAAAAGAATAAGGGGTTTAACAAGGGGAACAATGCTGGGTCGGGTGCTGGAAACGGCAAGGATGGATCTAGTAAAACTACTACTAAAACATGTTATTACTGTAAAGAACCGGGTCACTTTAGGAATAATTGTCCGGTGAGGAAAAACAAGTCCCAGGCTGCTGTAGTTGAAGAGAAACCGAATGAGAGCTATAATTCAGAGGAAGATTTAGCATTAGTCAGTTCTGCTAGGTCTGATGATTTATCTGATAACTGGGTTCTAGATTCGGGGTGTTCGTTCCATATGTGTCCACGTCGAGATTGGTTTGATACATATGAACCTCGCAATGGGGGTATGGTTATAGTCGGTAACAATGCTCCATGTAAGGTCACAGGTATTGGTTCCATGAGGTTGAGGACTGTTGATGGGCGGAGGTTAACTTTGACTAATGTACGGCATGTTCCTGCTTTAGGAAAGAATCTGATTTCATTGGGTACCCTGGATGAATTGGGGTACAATGGTGTGTTTTCAGATGGGGAGTTGTGTATTTTCAGAGGTTCTGAGTTGGTACTTAAGGGTATCAAAAGGAACACCCTCTATGTTTTTGAGGGTGTTACACTGCCTAGTTCTGCGGTTTGCGCATCTGTATCTCACCAGGAGATGACTAAGATTTGGCACATGAGGCTTGGTCATATGGGGGAGAAGGGGATGCAGCTATTGTCCAAGAGGGGTCTTCTATCCGGGGTCAAGGTTGCCAACCTTGAATTTTGTGAGCATTGTGTGTTTGGTAAGAAACACAGGTCAAAGTTCAGCAAGGGTGCTCACATTACTGATGCAGTGCTCGATTACATCCATTCAGATTGCTGGGGTCCATCTAGAGTTGAAGGTATGGGAGGTTACCACTATTTTGTGTCATTTGTTGATGACAAGTCCCGATACACATGGCTTAGGTTGCTTAAGTCAAAGGATGAGGCCTTCAAAGTTTTCAAGCAATGGAAAGCTTTGGTGGAAAATCGACAAGGAAGGAAGATCAAGAAGCTACGAACGGACAATGGGCTAGAGTTTTGCAAAGACGAGTTTAATCAGTTCTGTGCAGATGAGGGTATAGGTCGGCATCATACTGTCAGGAAGACACCACAGCAGAACGGTGTAGCAGAACGGGTTAATCAGACACTGCTAGAGAGAGTCCGATGCATGCTCTCTAATGCAGGGCTTGGGAGGAGGTACTGGAGTGAAGCTGTGTTAACAGCTTGTTATGTCATTAATAGGGGTCCTCATTCTGGAATTGATTCCAAAATTCCGTTTGAGATCTGGAGTGGTAAGTTGCCTAATTTTTCGAATTTGAAGATTTTTGGTTGTGTTGCTTATTATCATGTTATTGAGGGTAAGCTGGATCCACGAGCCAAGAAGGGGTGTTTTGTTGGGTACGGGGATGGTGTGAAGGGGTTTAGAATTTTTTCACCTTCGGAGGGTCGGGTCATTCTTAGTAGGGATGTTACTTTCGATGAAAACACCATGTATTCAATTAAAAATGCAGAGATTTCAGATTTGAGAAGGGAAGGAGACAATTTATTACAGACAGATGGGGTACTTGAGGTACATCAGTCTACCATTGCTGATTTACCTCGGGTACAATATATTGATGATGATGCTGATGTTCCAGTGCCGGGTACTCCTGAACCTGAGATTACTCCTACTCATTCTAACTCTGGGATGAGGTGGAGCAATCTAATCAGGGGTCATCTAGTCAACCTGACACCATTCTTGAGATGCCTAAACGAGTTATCAAGAAGCCTGTTAGATTGATTGAAGAGATGGAGGGAAGAAATTGCTGTGTTGATGCGATGACAGGTTATGCATTGAGTGTAGCTGATGATGTAGAGTCATTTGAACCTGCCACATATAAACAAGCAATTAGTTGTAGTGAGTCTGCGCAATGGCTTGCCGCAATGGGTGAAGAGATGCAGTCTCTTTACAAGAACAGAGTGTGGGAACTGGTAAAGGTACCGGAAGGGAGGAAGCTTGTGGGTTGTAAATGGATTTACAAGAAGAAAGAAGGGTTGTCGGAAACTGAGCAAATACGTTTTAAGGCTAGGCTAGTTGCTAAGGGGTTCAGTCAGGTAGAAGGGGTTGATTTTGTTGAGATATTCTCACCTGTGGTTCGACATACTTCTATCCGTGTGTTATTGTCAATTGTAGCACATTTTGATCTTGAGCTGGAGCAGTTGGATGTTAAAACGGCTTTCCTTCATGGCGATTTGGAGGAGGAGATTCTGATGAAGCAGCCCGAAGGATTCGAAGTTCCTGGAAAGGAACACTATGCCTGCAGATTGCTAAAGTCATTGTATGGACTTAAGCAATCCCCCCGACAGTGGTACAAAAGGTTTGATTCTTTTATGGTTTCACAAGGTTTTGACAGGAATTCATATGATTGCTGTGTGTATCATAGTAAGCTGGATAATGGTTCCATGATTTATCTTTTGTTATATGTTGATGACATGTTGGTTGCCACAAAGAATAAATCTGATATTGCTAGATTAAAGGAGATGCTTAACTCGGAGTTTGACATGAAAGACTTGGGTGCAGCTAGGAAGATTTTGGGTATGGAGATCTACAGGGATCGGGCTAGAGGTAAGCTTTTCTTGACTCAGAAAAGCTACATTGAAAAGATTTTGTCTCGTTTTGGGATGGAAAAATCGAAGCCTATAAGTACGCCAACTACTGTTAGTTGTAAGTTGTCTTTGTCTATGTCACCTCAATCAGAGGAGGAGTTGTCTTATATGTCTAGAGTTCCATATGCAAATGCGGTTGGTTGTTTGATGTATGCTATGGTCTGTACTAGGCCGGATATTGCGCATGCTGTTAGTGTTGTAAGCAGGTTTATGGCTCGACCTGGGAGGGAACACTGGCAAGGGGTGAAAAGGATTTTTCGCTACCTGAGAGGGACAGCTGATATTGGTCTTGTGTACGGGAATGGTAGGGAATGCTTGGTCACTGGGTACAGTGATTCTGATTATGCAGCTGATGTGGATACCAGGAGGTCTGTGACTGGTTATGTGTTCACTTTGGGTGGTTCTGTGGTTAGTTGGAAGTCTACATTGCAGTCATCAGTTACGTTGTCAACTACTGAAGCTGAGTATATGGCTCTAACTTCTGCAGCTAAGGAGTCTATTTGGCTCAAAGGCCTAGTAGGTGAACTGGGTATTGCACAGGATTTTGCTACAGTGTATTGTGATAGTCTAAGTGCGATTTGCTTAGCTAAAGATCAAGTACACCATGATCGGACGAAGCACATTGATGTCAGGTATCATTTCTTACGTACTGACAAGAGGATTAAGGTGAAGAAGATTGGGACTGCTGACAACCCGGCTGATTTCTTCACTAAGCCTGTTCCGTTTAGCAAGTTTAAACATTGCTTAGACTTGCTAAATATTGATTACTACGTGATGTAGTAGGCCCTGAGGGGCGAAGTTGGGGAGCTCCTGGTGTAGGTGTGTTGGCCTTAAGGTGGAGCTTGCCCGGGGCTTGTGATGCAGGTGGAGCATTATGAGTTGTTATACTTGGAGACGAGTATGTGATGGGTCTTG